AAATGAATGCCCTGGGGCAAAGTGTTGGACTGGTGTTTCAGGTAATGAAGAAGTAAAGAAAACTTCAAGATGGACAAGTATCAGAACATACAAAATATTTCCAAATGTGCATTTGGATCTGTGTCTGCATGGAAGTTCATGAGGAGTCCAAAATTAAAGCTAAAGCAGAGTTTAGTCTAAGGGATTTCAACAGGGTGCAGTGCTGGCTTTCAGTTCACCAGGCAATACAGAGTTAATGATAAAATGGAAATACTTAATGCTCTCAAATTAATGAGGGAGTCCTAATACCTAGTGTTAAGTTTTATTGTAATTTATTTATTTAGAAATTTAAATGTGCTATCTATAGTGATAGTTTCAGTGTGGGTGGATTTTTCTTTATTTTACTTTTAATATTTTAATAGAATTTTTATATCAATTTTAGTATAGAATGTAACATCTTGCACTTTGCCCTAAAAAATGACATTTGATGGAAATCAATAAAATTCGGCTCTAAATGTCCCTGTAAATATTAGACACAGTAATTTTTGAGGGTTAAACCTAATTTATATCTTTCTTTTTGCTTAATATATTTTATGAAGGTTTCAAAAATGAATAATCATTGAAAGGTATTGCACTGATAAATGAGTTATAATAATAGTTGACTTCTGTAAGAGATAATTTACTAATCAATCTTCAGTGTTTCTTAGCAACATAAAGTATTCATATCCTGGGTATTTTCTTTCTTCAGATACACATTTGGAAATATTTTATATATCCTGATGGTTGTCCATCTGTCCTGAAACTCGCTTTGCTTCCTCATTACCTAAATGGCCTCATTAAACTTAACATTTATCCAAAATATTCTTTCAGCCTAATAACCTCCAATTTGACTTGAGAATCATTTGGCTTGTCAGAATCTTAAAAGAAGTCTGGGAAATAAATTTCTTTTGTGTATTGTGAAGGTAAAGTTATTGGAAGTGTGTTACATTTTCTTAATAAAACAAGTATAAAAATATTGCCTTGGGAGCTAGCTAACTATTTTCTTAATGTCCTTAGCCTCTAGGGAAGTAGTTTAATCACTTGTGATAAAGAAATAGCTTGGTTATATTTTGGCAAGTTGACTTGTACTCAGTTTACATCGTAATTTATGAAAATGCTAGATTCATGGGGAATGTTGTATTCACTCATCCATTCTACAAATATTTATTGAGCACTTACAACATGCCAGACTCCAAGACTGCCTCTGGGGATACTGTGGTGAGCGAAAACCTGTGGTCTCTGTTCTCTGGAAAGGATTGTGGTTGTCTGAGAGCATGTAATGAAAGAACCTGGTCTGATCCCCGAGGAAAGGCTTCCTTGAGGAGTGTGCCTGAGCCGCTATCTGAAGGACATTGCTGTGGGAGCAGCTTTTGTGATGGATACTCCAGGACAAGTTGAGCGGCTGCAAGGCCAGAGAAGCTGGAGTTCAGACAGCAAACCCTTGCAAGAAGAGGCATTCTGATGGGCCAACTCCTGTTTGAATATAACTAGTCCAGTTGTCAGGGTTTTCTCTTTCTTCCTTGGAGTCAGCTTCATTTTCAGAGCCCTTTAATTATTAGCTCTTTCTCATATGAAATCAAACATTCTGTTTCTACTCATTGATCCGAGTTCACTGAGGCAGAATTAGGCCAGTTTAGTTGAGTTTTATGTATGTGAAGGTTATGGTTGTATAGCTGTAAGTCTCAACTTTCCAGACTTTTCCTGCAATATTGAAACTGTTCAGATATAGTCAAAAGAGGAATGACAAGGAGAATACAAGACCTCTCCTACTAACTCTATTTATCAGTAGTACTTAATGAATACTTTACTTGCACTGGGCGCTGTTGCAGCAACTCTGTACTGGAACTAAAGGAAGGTACCTGCTAATTTCTGGTCTGAAGGAGCTCACAGTGAAGTAGAGAAGAAAATAAGGGAAAAAATAATGAAATTAGTAAGCTTAAACCATATAGTTACCTAATTTGCAAGATAATTATGAGCTTACAACAAAAGGTACAGGGACAACACTTTATCCTCATGATGAGGCTGTTAATATTCATTTGAACCTCAAAGGAGTCCATGATATAACATGGTTATTATATAGTTCTTTGTAAAGCAATTAATTTGACAGTAGTCAAACATTTCTTAATGGTCAATCCAAGCACTCCTAAGAGTTAAAAAAGACAAGGACAGGTGTTCAATCAACTCTATTACTGTACATAGATAGTAAACCATTTTTATTCTTATTACAGCTTAGAAATCTAATCTTTATATAATGTCTCTTAAAATATAAAATAATTGGTTTCATTATTATACCCAGAGGTCAGAGGTGATATCATACCCCAAAGTAAAATGCTGCCGTTTTCTCTAATATGAGGATCCTCACTTAGTTACCTTTGAAACACAGGCTGTGTGAATACAGAGAAAGCTTATATTTAGATTTGTTCTCACCTTCAAGAGCTTTCCTAAGGATATATCATTAGAATTGAACTTGATATTTATCTGGATTTGCCATGCCTGTGTGTAGAGACCCATGCATTGTCTTTCAGTATAACGATAGGAGAGCATAAGCCTTTCTCTGCACACATAGTAATGCAGTATTGCAGTTTCCTCTTAGAGCTTTTCCAACCAAGGAAGCAGGTACTATTTACAGTATATACTAGACAAATTGGAAGCAGGTGCTTCCCACTCTCTCTAATCTTTGCAGCCGTTCTTTCACTTTATACTTGCTTCCATCTGCATACTTTATGTGTCTGTGGTTTTTCTCATTTCTTATATTCTGGAATAGATGAGTGACAAAAAAGCTGTAATACAGTCTTTTTTATTCATTCAGAATGTCACTTTATGCTTGAATACAGTAGTTGACTATTTGCTCATTTCTTTTATGTACGATTTGCTTGTTTATGTTTTCTCCTGTATACTACCCAGGAATTACAGATGTATTTTAATCTGGCAAAAATGATCAATTCTGACTAATTTTTGTAAAACACCTTGGAAAGAAATGAAGTCAAGGTAGTCATGTACACTGGCCTAAACTGGTAGACAAATCTTAAGAGTTCAGAATGTCAGAAACACAGTGTGATTCTTCCCTCCCCCACATTTGTTCTGTTCCCTACCCTGCACAATTTTCTTCTTTTTCAGCACATTAATATTTTGTGGAATCTCTATACTCTAGGGAGCTTTGATAATTGATGTTGACTTTCTCCAAACATCTTTATGGTATAAGTAAGAACACGGGTATCATGCCTGTCTTTTAGAGGGCAGTTTCTTAGTCACCCTCCTTAGACCTCCTCTGAAAAGATAAAATACTTCTTTTTAAGGTGATACTTTATTTCAGCATGTATAAGCTTGATTCTAAGAGGAGTTGAGCCCTGAAGACTCAACTCTTCAGAGACCAACTCACAGTCAAAGGAGCTATGCTTATCAGCTAATTAAAAAAAAAGAGAAAATTACATAAAGTTATCATACACATTTGCATGAAATAAGCTCTAAACTCTTTAACTTGTTATGACTACAGAACTAGTTCTGCCATTTTTTAGCTGTGTGACATTGTAAACAGTTATATTAGTTCTTAAGTTCATGTATCTACAAAGTCAAAGTAATGATACTTAATATAGAGAATGGGTCTTAACTGTTGCTAGGCAGGTTGTTGAAAATGAATGACTTGGAAGGATAAATTATGACTTAAATCCTATTAAAAAAATCAACAGGATATGTAAATACTTTGAAATGAGAACAAATGTGCTGATGACTAGAAGGAGTTGGAGGAAAATCTAAAAAGGAATTCTAGAACATGTCACCATATTGAAAGATACTTATCCTTTCTCAGCCATCAGTTTTTTTATTGAAATGAATGCTTCTAAGATTTATCAAGGCAATTACGCTTAGCTGGGTCACTTTATTAAATTTTATGATACCTTAGTTTGGAATGTTTAATGAATGTTACTGATTATTTTGCCTTTTCCCCCCATGGAAAGTATTTCTAGGAAGAAAGTTACTGGATCAAGGGGTATGAATATTTTTAAGGCTCTTGACTTTTGTGTTAAAATCACTTTCCAGACAGTTTCACCACTTTGTGTTCCCACTAAAATGAGATTAGCAGTGTGAACCACAGTCCCCATTTTGGTGGTTCACTTTCCCTGGCTTCAGTTATACCATTGTCAACTAGGACTGAAAATATTACATAAAAAAATATTACATAAAGAATGCATTTCCTATGCATTCTTTAAAACTTGAAGTCTATCATAGGTGTATAGTAGGAAAAAACCTACAATATATATTTTCAGTACCTTTCATGGCTTCGGGTAACCACCGGAAATCCTGGAATAGATCCTTTGTGGATAAGAGAACACTATTCATTTTTTAAAGGAAGTTGGCTAATTTGTCAGTTAAAAGGTATTGCTTGTAAAAATCTACATTTATTTTATATATTAGATTGAAATTTTCTTTAAATATACAAGTGTTTAAATTTTAAATATAAAAATATATGTAAGTATACTTGTGTTATTCTAAAACAAGTAGATATTTATTTTTATCTTTTAATGCAAGACATATTAATCAAACTAAACTGTATGCTGTTACTATTTCCAATGGATAGTACCCATTTCAGTGTTAATTATTCAATAATATTCTAAGTTTTAGTGTACAGTTAAGGTACTCTTAACGTACATTTAACGTAGATTTATATATTCATTTTATCTTGCCAAGCATCAAATAATATTTTATCTTGGTTATCATGAAAGGTTTTTTATAAGTTAAATTACTTGTTCTTCCCACTGGTTTAATTTTATAATTTCAAATGAAATATTTTGCTTGGCTGTAGGTGATACTAAAGCCATTCAGATTATTACAACATATTGTAAGTGCCTTTCACTTTTAAATTGTTTACTAATGTGTAGTTTACTTAAAAGCACAAAAATATAGAATGATACAATGTAACTTCCTCACAACTTTTTGTTGTATTTACTTCAATTTTTAATTTCTTAAACAGAACTTTATAGACTGGTGAAACTTTCTATCGTAATGATCATCAATCCCATTCTCCTCTTTCCCTGATCTCCTGGGGAGCAAGTATTCTGAGGTGGGTATTCACATGGCCATGCTTATTTTTATAGTTTTGTTTAATATGTATGTATCCATTATAAAAAATCTTATTTTAATGTTATTCTGTGCCTGTCCTTCTGCTTCTTGCTTTTTTTTTTTTTTAATGTTTTAGACCGAATTACATCATCAACTTATGTTGATAGATATTGCTATATAGTTCAGTGGTTCTTAGAGTAGTGCTCTCCCACAGCCAGCATTTGGGGGACTTGTTAGAATACAAATCCTCAACACAGGACTGGGTATTTGTTTGTGTAACCTGTCTGAAAGGAAAATGCTGGATCCTATTTTCAAAAATTTAGGATAATCTTAAGATGGCAACAGCAGAGCTTTAAATCAAAAGTGGGCATGTTCACATACCCTTTAAGCTACTAGATCTGTTTTAAGTCTCACTCCAAACATACTAAACAAAACCTCTTATGGTAAGACCCAGCTACTTGTTTTAAAGTTTGCAGCTGTTTGTATTTGTTAAAAAAGATATATTTATTTATGCATACAGAACTGGGTACAGGCCAGAGGTGCAGCGGTGGTAAGAGGATTCAACAGAGACAGGAGTGGGGAGCAGAACAGGCAGATCGACAGGGGCAGAACAGGGGAGCAGCCTGTGAGACAGGAGAGGTGTGGGGCGCCATGTGGGTCACCCACGGGGCGGGGAATCTAACTTACACTGCCATTGCTGCCAGTTTGCAGTGCTGGGCCTTAACTCCTTGCACCACAAGGGAGGACCCTGTATTTATTTTTAGACCTACTATAACAAAATGCCATAGCATGGGTGCCTTAGAAAGCACAAATTAGTTTTCTCATCATCCTGGAAATGATGGAGGCTGGAAGTCCAAGCTCAAAGGTGCTTTCTCTTGTGTTTTTGCTTGCACTTGGGTCAGCTACTTAGGTTCTGTTATGGCCTGTGAGTGTATACGTTAGATGTGTTTGTGTGTGTGTCTCAATTCCCTTTTCCTATAAGGACACTAGTCAGATTGGATGGAGCGTATGTCCAAACATCCTTAACTTAATCTCCTCTTTAAAGGCCCTGTCTCCAAATATAGTCACACTGGGAGTTAGGACTTCAAGATTTGATTTTGGGGAGACACAATTCAGCCCATAACACCACCTCTATGTTTCAGTGATTATTATGACTGCGTTACTTTTAAGTTATATTTATTCTTGTTGATGGAAATTTAGGTTATTTTCTATTTTTGCGCTATCAGTTTCATTTTCTTCATAGCGGTTTTTACAATTTTAATTTATTTTTGATTTGGTGTTTTGACAGGTGACAGTGTCCTGATGTTAATTAAATTGAAGGGAAAAAAAAAAAAGAATCCAAAGTCACATACTGTCTTTGTTTAATGGAAGCCTGTGTTCTATAAGCTGTTAATTTTGCTAGCATCTAATTTTAAATGGTAGTGTTTTTGTTTTCTGAGACTGGATGTTTCATGTAGTCCAGCACATGTGGTTTTGTACCATATTTTTGAGTGAACTCCACAAGCTACTATTTCCATATATGGGTGGGCCTGTCATAATGATAATAAATAAGTTTCTTTCTCTGTTTGTAAATAAAGGAAAACAGTGACTCCGTCATTGTGTATGTAATGTCTTGGGCTTTCTTGACCTTTTGCAGCTCATTATTGTCATGTGGGAATATACTGAATTCCTGTTGCTGTTAACTTTATGCTGCTAAACGTAGTAATGTTCACTTAAGAAATATTCATTAATGTTATTTTGCTAAATATTAGGCATATTTTTTATTAAAAGGTAAGGTGCTGTACTTGGCTAATGCGAGATTCTCTTTTTGTGAGTTTCCACATTTAGTTATATATTTTGTAATTTTATTTCCTCATTCAAAATATATTACCTTTATCCAGATTTTATTTCCTTTTCTACTAACTACACCTTGTCCTGCTGAATGTGTAACAAATGCAGATTATATGTATTTGATGATTTTAAAAGTTTATTTGTTCACTGAGGACCTGTTGGGTCTCGGGGTATAGACTATGTATGCTTCCTGGCTTCCAATCTACCTCATCGTTATGCCATTTCCCAACTTGTTAGTTATATCACCATTATAAAGCCAGGCTGGACAAAGGAAGAGATGAACACCATCTCCCCAATTGTCATTACTCTTTGATGGTTGAACTTGGTGGACAAAGGAGTCTTAGGATGATAATAATTAAAACTGATGTGTCAGTATCACCTGTGAGCAGACATGTGAACTAGACAACCTGTAGGTACATTCCTTGTTTTCGTAGGACCAGTAATATGTGTGATTCCTAGTAGCATGCTCAGGCTGATAGAGCAAGTTGTTGTGCTTTCCTTTCCATAGCACTTTTCCTTGGGGTTGGGATGTAAATGGAGGACTGGGCCAGACTGGAAGAGTGTGAGGAAAGGGGGTTCTAATTTTCATTCTTCATTATTCTTGCTTCCTTCATGTTTTTTCCTCTCTATATCGGCATTAGTCTGCTGAATTTATATCACCTCTTGTTTTTGCATTATGTCCCTCATTTCAGCATAAAGTCAGCGATTTATTGAATGTTTACATGTCTAAGGCCCACCTTTGTCTCTTAAGAGGATAAGGGGGAATATAAATTGTGCCCTTACCATCCCCTCTCCCCGTATGTTTGTGAATCATAGGGATTTGGGTTCAAATTCTGTCTCTGAACTTAATTTGTGGTGCAATCTTTCTTTTTGTTCTTAACCTGTACATCTCATTTTCTTCTGTTGTAAAATGAAGGCAACACCTACTGTGCATGTCTTACTGGGATGTTCAGGGGGATTAAATGAAGCAATGTATAAGAAGCTCTTTAAACATAATAGGCACTCAGTAAATGGTATTTCGTTGCTATTATCATTATCATCATCATCATTTAGTTATTTCTATATTTGAACATCACACTTGACTCTACAGGGCCTACTGTATTAATGGTCTAGGTGACACTTTCTAGGAATTGCTTTCCTGGCTCTGGGATGATTCCATCACAGCAGATAATTTAATTAGCCCTTGCCTGCTGAGCACTGTAGCTGTGGCAGTCAATAAGAGAAATGTGGGGTTTCCTTGGTGGCGCTGGGACTAAGTCTCATGACTGTGAAGCTGTCAGCAGTCACTGCAGCACTGAGTTCGATCCCCAGCCAGGGAGCTATCTACATGGAACAGCAGAACTCTCCTGTCCCTGTGCTGCTTCCTTCAGCAGTGTATTTTAGTGGATCTGCCTGTTCTTTTCCTTACTATGTCTCTGGTAAATCCTCTCAACCCCCTGCACGTCTGCCCTGTACCCCAGTTCTTGTATGTATAAATAAATAAAATCTTTAAAAAAAGGAGAGAAATGCAGCATAGAAAGAACTATGGTTTTGGAGTCAGATAGATCTTGATCGCCATTACTCCAGCAGTCACTAGCTGCACCTCGTGGGCAAGGTGCTTAGCTTTTCTTTATTTTCTTAGCACTGTGAAAAGGATTATAGCATCTACCTTAAAATGTTATTGTGAATGGGGCTGGGTGAGCATTGTTCTTGTGAGGATTAAATGATAATGTATAGAAAGCATGGCCCATAGTAGTCACATACTAATTTTTGCAACATATTTTTTTTTTCTTTTCACTCCTTCATTTCACCAATTACAAAGGTTTATTCTTTCTCTTTTTTTTAATGAAAACTGATCTCACAACCAGTTGTCACTTTTTTTTAAAAAAACGATTTATTTATTTATGCATATAGAACTGGGGCATAGGCCAGAGGTACAGGGGTGGTGAGAGGATTCACCAGAAACAGTGGGGAGCAGAATAGGCCGATTGAGGAAGTACACTGCTGAGGGGCAGCGGGCGAGACAGGAGAGGTCTGCTGTGCAATGTGGGTCACCTCCCTGTTGGGGATTGAACTTGTGCTGAAGTGGCTGCGGCTAGCTTCACAGTGCTATGCTTTCACCTGTTCTGCCGCCAGGGAGGGTCCTGAAGTTAGTCTTTAATTCTGAATATATATGGAGATTTCTTCTACTTTTTATACTCAAGAGTCCTAGAAGCTTGACCAACAGGATAAGTGACTTGCTTGGCTGCTCCTACTGGGAAGACACAAGTTAACAAAACCAAGTTTATCTGAGAGCTCCTGATTTCTAAGTCTCTCTCTATATATTTATGTGTGTTTGTGTTTTTTAACTATAATAGATTTTACAGCAAAATTTGCCATTTTAACCATTTTAACTGTACAATTCAGTGGGATGGAGTACAGTCACTGCTATACAACCATGGACTTACATTTTAAAGTTTGGTTTCGGTATTATATTTCATGTGTTCTGTTTGTTTGGTCTGTATAATGGAAAGAGCTCTTAATGGTAGACAGCTGATTCATTACAGCTGGTGTTAGCAGAATGGGATTTATTAAGATGTAATAGTTTATTGGATCTTTGAACAAACAGAAGGAATAGGCTAGGCTGGGCTGAGAACTAGGAACAACTCCTTAAAACCACACTTTTCATCTAGTTTGCTAAGAGGGTCGCTGCCATCTCTGGTCACAGAATCCTGCTGGCCTCCTCAAGTTTAGGCGTTGCTGACTGGGTTGATTTGGTTTGTGCTGCTGCCCCAGAGTGTTGTCATCTCCCTCTCCGTCACTACTCAGCGGTGTGAAGGTGGTTGCTGTCTCACCTTGTTCTTCCCCCTTTGTCTCCTGGGAGTGTTGTTCCTTGAGAAGCCTAAGGTATATAAGGCTCTTCAAAGTTATAAGGGAGTCTCCCCTGTTATATAGGTAAACTGGAATGGGGTTGAGCGAGTGTTGAGAGTCCCTTACAAAGCAGAAGTCTAGAGGACAAATTAATTTAACATCTTTGTTCTCTTAAAAGATTATAGCTTCCATAGAATAGTAAAGTGGAAGCATCAGTAGGTAGGTAGGTAGGTAGGTAGGTAGGATGAACGCTAGGAAAGCTCTGAGCCGAGAGGGGAGTCCCAAGTGGGTCACCACTGAGGTGGTGAGCAGTTGGTGCTTATTTGAGTTTGGTTATTGTGT